TTAGTCTATTAGCTAATATTTTTGCAAAAATCTTATAATCCGTATTCAATAAAGATATTGGTCTGTAATTTTTAGGCTGGGTCGTATCTTGATCCTCCTTCGGTATAAGTGAGATAAATGCACACCTCCAAGATGGTGGTATTTGTCCCCCCATTAAAATATCATTAAAAAGACATCTCAAGGGTTCTAACATTTCTTCAGATAGTTTTTTATAATAAATTGCAGTAAACCCATCTGTACCAGGGGCCTTACCAACCTTCAGCTGTTTAAATGCCTCTGCAATCTCTTCCAACGTGATCATACCGTTCATCGATCCTTTTTGTTCCTCAGAAAGACAAGGCAAATTTGCTTGTTGTAAATAATTATCTATTTCATCAGATTGTATATTCTCAGAGGCATACAATTTAGAAAAATATTCTGAAAAAGCCCTTTTAATCAATTCCTGTTGAAAAACTTCTTTACCCTTGTAGTTCATTTTCTCAATAAGTCTTTGTTTTTGTTTCTTACGTAATTGGTACGCTAACCATCTTCCAAGTTTATCTGCATTGCAAAATGTATTATGTTTCATATATTTCAAATTAATAGCAATTTGATCAGAAAGCAACATATTATACTGTTCTTTCAGCATTACAATAGATGCCTTTAAACTCTTATCCATTGGATTTAAGGAGAAAGCTTTTTCCTTTATTTTTATCTCTTGCTCCATATCTTTATACTTTTGTTGATATTTTCGCTTATAAGCAGAGTTCATTGAAATTAAGGCACCCCTCATAACCGCTTTGCTTGCATCCCAAACCATCGATATAGAGGTGCCCTTATTCATATTCAACGTAAAGAATTCTTTTAAATAGTCTTTAAGTTTCTGCACATTTGTTTCATAATTCAATAAATTCTCATTCAGTCTCCAAGTCCTTCTACTACCTCCATCAGTTGAAATCTCCATCCATACAGGACTATGGTCCGACAATATCTTAGGAAAAATCTTCACCTTCTTAACCCTAGGAATCAAATCAGTAGTAATCAAGATAAAGTCAATTCTGGAGTAAGATTGATGCCTATCCGAAAAAAAGGTGAAATCACTTTCTCCCATATTCCTTTCACGCCATATATCTCTTAACTCAAGGTCTTCCTGTAATGCAAAAAAACTTTTAGGCAATTTAATTTGCATTGAAGTTTTAGCTGAAGTCTTTTTATCTCTTTTTGGATCTATTACACCATTCCAAT